TGTCGTCTACGTACAACACAAAAAACACCACAGGTTTTTGCCATTTTTCTTGTAGACGCAGTGCTCATTCAGACATTTAGTGAACCTGTACGGCTGGATCATCTCATCGAACAAGATATTCCAAGACCTTGATGTTGGGTTCGGTGAAGAAGGTCGGCTGATCATGCTTTAAATTGATTTAAAATCTAATAAATGAATCTTGCGCGCAGTGGAACTAATAATCAAACTTGAACCTTACCGTTTAAAATCTTGGCGACCCTTTACAGACTTACACGACTTACGAATACGAATGAACAGTTCTGACTTCTCATCTAACTTCTTTTCCTCTTTTCTTGTTGCTGGCCACGCCTTGCCGTGTACACCATGAATCGCCAGGTGGAGTTGTCGTGCATCACCGAGCTGCAGCCGTGAATCATCGGTTGCCTCATGCATCGTCGTGCATGGCCGGGGTTGATGCGATGCATCGCCTTGCGTGGTTGGAGCTGTTGTGATGCATCTTCGAGTGTGATCCCAGTGCATCGCCTTGCTACTTTGTCATGTTGTGCGTCGTCGATCGTCGTGTCGTGCCTCTTGGACTACCGTGGATCGCCGTCTTGGGTCGCTACCGCTAGTCACACATTGCTATCACCGAGGATGGTCGTGCAAGCTATCACTGGGGCTGCCGCGTACAGAGGTGCGCCAATTTTCAGCCGCCTCACGGGGTCGTAGTTTGACTCATAGTAGTGTGTATCGTCTGGGGTTGTCACGTGCAGTGGTCTGGGATGACTCGTGGGGATAATTGTATTTTATCGGGATGTAACAAACAAGCTACTTTGAGATCTTTTATAGTATGACAGATCACTACTCCGAGTTTTCTTGGTGGGTGACTCGTTGGATCTCTCGAACCTCATATTTCCCCTCTCTCTACCTTACTGTGTTTAACTGATTTCTGATTTCTCACGTTAAGTATGCGTGTGAAATAATATTTCTGTTGGTGAGAGGCTATAGGACTTATTGTATTTATAGACTACAACAGAGACCCTAAGGAGGTGCTAAATATGTGGCTTCTTCATTCCACTATCCTTGAATTTTTTTCCCAAACTGGATTTTCTCTGGGCAAGTCTTCGACTCTTGTGATATTCAACATTGCGACAATTTTCTTTCACGTTTCTTTTGCCTTCGGAGGATGTATAAGAAATATACATTTGATCTTTGGTTTTTACCATATCCGTGAGACTTACATGAAGGAAATTGGCTTACTAGAGCGTGTTTTTGATATATTAGGGTTTTTTTTTCTTGATATGATGCCAAGCAATGATTGTTGCTTGTTTTAGGAAGCAAATTTATAATATTAATAAGAGAAAACTGTTAGCCCATACATCCATAAATGAAATATTACCTTTTTTTATTAATCAATTAATTAATTAATTATATACATAAAATAAAGTCAATATGGTAATTTTGGAAAGGTATAAAAAACTTATAATCGTATAATTAGAAACAATTTAAAACTGATGAGTACATGGACGTTGTGTCAAAAAGCCCAACAAATAGACAAAATATGGGTCTAAGAGTGCGTTTGTACAACACTCTATTCATATTCAAAATTTAACGCAACTTTAACTCAACTCAATTGTTCTAAATATTATCAATATAATTAAATAAAATAAATTAATTATTCTTACACATCTATCAACTTTGATTTACTATTTATCCAACTTACATAATTTAACTAATCATCAATTCACAACATTTCTCTCATATTTTTGTAACAACAAATTTCGTGTATTGAATTTAAAAACACGAAAAATATTATTCAAATGAATTTTTTGAATCAAAATAAATATAATGGGTTACAATCTCTAATTTCTCCTCTGATTCTTCTCACGAACAATTTTAAGTCTTGGAGCGAAATCTTCGGCTTGATCTTCTCCTTGACTTGATTTGACTTGAATTAACGTTAATCCGAGGGCCAACGCCTTGATTTCGGATCAAACGTCGAAATATCCCAAGAACGCGAAGAACACGAATCCTTGGTATTCGTCGCAAAGTAGATCTTGAATCTTCTCTACGCCGGTTTTGAATTTACTAACGCTATTCGAAGGCTTTGCAGCTTGTTTCCGGATTGAACGCCAGTCTTGAGGTTGAATGCGCTTGAATCTTGCTTCGAATCTTCAAGAACGCCTTTGAATCTTCAAGAACACTTGAATCTCGTCGAGAGAATTCTCTAGAGCTCTTGAACTTTGAATATGAAATATGATGTGTGTTTTTGACATTAGGGAGAGCCCCTATTTATAGGTGTAGGATGGAGAACCCTACCAAATTTAAGAATCGTAGGACGCGATTTGATTGGTCCATGATGATTCACATAAGATCTTTTAGATCTACTTAGATCTTCCAAGATCTTCTAGATGCCATATGATTTATTACCAAGAATTAAGATTTGACACTTGACATTATTTGATTGGTCAAGAATTAAAATATTAAAATATTAATTAATTAACTATTTAAAGTTAGGAATTAAATATATGGAAATTCCTAAAATATAAATAGAAAATATGACTTGATTTTTAATTAATTAATTTCCACGTGGCGCCATTTGATTGGCCACAAATTTTATGTATCTACAAATGCCCCCTCGAGACTTGTTCACGGACGACGTGTCTTGGAGTGAGTAAGTCGAGACATAATTTATCGGGCTTGGAAGACGTGACATGGATTTACAAAGTCCAAGAGGCTCAAATTGATAAATTTATCATGTGTATCAAATGGCCCAAAACTTGTATTCATTAAAATGTCTCATATGTTGGGCCCAATTCTTTGAAATCCATGTTGGGCCTTAATCAACTTAAAAGACTCCATAATGTGAAGCCAACTCTTAAAATAAATGTGACCCAAACATTGAGAACAAACTTTGGTCAAACACTCACCCAATTTGATTACGGGTAAAAAAAAAAATAATAATGGCCCATCTCTTCATTAAGAGGCAAATTATGAATAAATTTCTTTCCTTCCACACATAACTAGTACTGACCCGTGCGATGTACGCCATGGCATACTTTTCTGAAATTTTTTTAATATTAATATTAAATTTAATGCACTTTGTAGATATGAAACAAATGTAAAATAGAAAAAAAAAAAAATAAATCTATAACTTCATAAATTAGTAAACACTTCTTTGTACACAACGTTTTGAATCTGATTTAGTGGCAAGTCATCGTCATTACAGGATCAATATGTGGCCCAAAAGTAATGGAGTTTGTTACAATTTAATTTGGTAAGACTTTTTGAATTGTTTGAAAAATAATATTTGTATTTTAATATGTATCATTTATCTCGAGATTTTTTTTGTAATATTTAACTCCAAACAATCGAAAAAATTGTGAAATTTGTTACCAAAAGAAATCCCAAAGATTATCAACAATATATTGTGTGTAAATAACTATAAAGTGTGTTACCAAATAAAAAAAAACAGATATTTTAAAAGATTTGTTATCAAAATTCAAGATTTGTTATCACAATCAGATCAAATTTGTTAACAAAATCTGAGATTTGTTATCACAATTAGATCAAATTTGTTAACAAAATCTTAGATTTGTCATCAAAATAAGATCACATTTGTTAGCAAAATTCGAGATTTGTCATCAAAATAAGATCAAATTTGTTACCAAAATCCGAAATTTGTTAATGACAAGATATTAGCTTCAATAGACAAGTTATAAATAATTGTTTGTATTTCAATTTCCTTGTATGATGATGGAATGAATTTAACCTCATTTGTTGCACAAATACATTTCCGCATGTGCATCAATCTAGTGAATTTTATTAGTAAAATCTGGAAGTTACATATAGGAATAAAATTATTAGCAATTACTGCAAATTTCTAAATAGGATTCACAAAATTATAATATAATTTACTAACATAATCATTGTATATTACATAAGTACTATCAATTCATGAATAAATAATAAATAAGAGAATATAAAGAAGGAATTAAATAATAACTATAGAATTTTTTATTTTTTTATCATTGGATTTTTTCACAAAATTCAACTTATGATTTTTATTAAATCTACTTAACGTTTTTAAATTAAAACTTCTTATTATCTTATTAAAAAATAATTTATTTTATCTGCATATAATAAATTGATTGTATAGTTTTTAAGCATTAAATTTTATAATAATTTAATGAAATCTAATTATATTCATATTTTTATGGAACATATATGCATGTATAGTGGGTCTTATCCATGTACAATACAATAAAATTTTAAATTCTAAAATAAATTTACATTATTCCAACAATTTTATAACCTAATAACAATCTTTTTAAAATAGAGAATTCAAATAATTATTATGAATTGATACTAAATCATTTTTTATGTGGAATTTTTATGTGAATATTATGTGTTTATTTATTATATTTATGTGTTAGAATTATTAGGATTTATTTGATTAGAGTTTTAAATTATTCCGGCGATTTTTGGTTTAATCGCGCAAACCGAACTTTATCCGTTTTAAACCGTTTTTGTGTCGAACCTTTTCCCGAGCGATCCTTGAGTTTGATACTCGGCCCAAATTATTTGAAAAATCTTTGGTCAATTCGGATAATTACCGGCCCAGTTTAATTGTATATTTGGCCCTTTTGCTAAATTAATCTAGGTCCAAGCTTAATAAATAATTTCGGCCCAATAGCTTAGTTTCTGAGCCCAAAGTTTATCACAAAATCTAGGGATTTTCATCCCTATTTCTCCCAATCGTGCCTCTCAAGTCTCAATCAGATGAGAAGGATCAGAAAATTTTCATAGAAAATTCGTTCAAACCCATCAATCTCAACCCTCTCGTTGCCCTTTTTCCTTGCCGCAGTCGGGCACCTCGACTGCCGCCGTCCAACGTTGAGCAGCCGCCACACATCCGCCTGCTGAGAGGAGAGCCAAAAGGCAGTAGCAGAATCGCGTCGATTCCGTTCGCCGACACCAAGTTTCATCTCAGCCCTTCCCGTAGATTCCGTCCGTTCACGTCAGCAGTCCATATGAAGAGGAGAAGTAGCAGAGGATTCCCGTCGGCCTTGGTTCAGCGGTGCACCACAATCCTTCTCGCTGTCGCTGACCGCTCGGGAACCATCGCGGGGCAGCACATTGTTGAGCTCGTTCCAGCCGTTCTTCCACGAATCCCACAAAATCGGGAACAGATTTGCAGTGAAAAATGGAATTGGGTGTCCTCAAAAGCGTGTGAATGTTTTATGCGGCAAAAAAAAAAAAGAAAATCAATTGGGAAGAGATTTGAAGGTTTCAAAAAAATCGGGAACAGATTCCACAATTGAGCGCGTGAATGATTTTTTTCCGGGATCAAAATTTACAATTGAGCGCATGTGAATTATTTTTTGGATGTTTAAAATGGTTACCATATTCAGTAAGTCATCTTGATTGACTGACAGTTTTTTTAAACTTTCTTCATTTGATTTATTGACCTCTCTTTTTCAATATATATAGATCAAAAGAGACAACATATCTTTTATTTCTCAAACTTCCAGCATGTATCCGATACTGCTACAATTATTTTCACTATTTTTTTCTATATTTCCATTTTTCTGTTTCCTTTTCATTGTGCGATTGGCAGTAATTCCTCACGATAGCTTACAACCAATATTTCGTTTCCTGATTCCCGATAGTAAAGAAAAGAATCTTCTATCTCTAGACTTTAAATCCTTCTCATAATCGCACAATGAATCCTCTCCTTTAGAGGATAAAGCATCAATTGCTGTATCTATAAATAGGCCACCAATTCTCCATATTTTTCCTACATTCGAAGTTCCGCAGGTACTTCAGCTTCTTCTTCCTCTTTTTTTTTTTTCTTTTTTTTTTTTGGGACGAGTTGCTGCGAACCATTTTTTTATTATTACTGATTGGTGAGTTGCCATGTTCATACTGCAGTCCAAAATTTTTTGGATAGGCAACATTAAAGAGCTCATAGGCTTCAATCTTCCAAACTTCCGACCTCAAGGTGTTCGATCAGTTGACCGAAAGGTACTAACATACTCTTCTTCTGATATTTATGTTTCATCTTCCTTCTCTCGTTATGTTTGAGCTGCAGCAACACGTTTGGGCCAAAGTAAGCTACTCAGGGTTGCTTTGTCATTGCTTCGTCGCTGTTCGGAGTGAAACGAGGTTATTCGGGGTTGTCCAGGCTGAAACGAAAATTGTCCAGGCGCCTATCGAGCTAAAACGAAGCTGTTTGGCCGCTGTTGGACTGAAACGGGGATATATTGGAGTTGTTCGGGTTGAGTCGGGGCTGTTTGGAGCTGTTCGGGTTGAGTCGGGGCTGTTTCGGAGTTGTTTGAGCTGATTCGGGGTTGTTTCGGAGTTGTTTGAGCTAATTCGGGGCTGTTTCGGAGCCGTTTGAGCTGATATGGGGCTGTTTCGGAGCCGTTTGAGCTGATGTGGGGCTGTTTCGGAGTTGTTTGAGCTGATGTGGGGCTGTTTCGGAGCCGTTTGAGCTGATGTGAGGCTGTTTCGGAACCGTTTGAGCTAATTCGGGCTTGCAAGCGTCACCACAATCAACTCAACAAAAATCAACTCAACGAGATGGAGCTACTGTCAACGCTACAATGTTCTAACAACCGCATGGAGAAATACATCAATTTTGCCGCTCAACATCATTTTAGGACGACGCATCTCAACACCCAAACTGCTCGAAGAAACCATCAACCTTGTCATTCAATTTCAACTTATGATAACACATCTCAACAAGCTAAGCTGCTCGCATGAACCATCAACCTTGCCGCTCAACGTCAACTTAGGACGACGTGTTTCAATAGCCAAACTACACGGAGGAATTATCAAGCTTGCCGCACATCATCAACTTAGCACGACACATCTCACCGGCAAGATGTACGACTGCAAAGGCTTAAGATGGAGACACGACAACTGGACGAGCTATTGCAGAGGTCGAAGATGTATGCTCAAGGGCCAAAGATGACCACGTCAAGTTGGATGAGATACCAAGAAGGTTGAAGATAGTTGTGGCGACGATGTACCAAAGGTTGCTGAAGAAACCCGTGAAGAGATCAAAGGTGGTTGTACTAATGAGGTTCACACGTTGAAGTTGATCAGCCACATCAGCCGTCGATATGACCTTCGTTCGAGTCCAACAAATTTTCTCCATTATCGAGAGCTCATTGAAGGCTTTATTCAACAACGCCGACTCTTACGACTGGGTACAGTCAAAATCTTCGGAGAAGGTGACAAATGAACAAATTGCTCGACAATTGGCCGAAGCTAAAGATCGTCTTTGTGAAGATAAGGCGAAAGAGAATATTGAATCAAATCAAGTGAAGTCCACTCAGGATGAGCTAAAGCGAGTCACGGAAGAGCTTGAGCAGTTGAAGACAAAGGCAGAAACACTATCCAAGACATTGAAGCAGCAGCAGGAGTCACTCGACAGTGCCAAGGCCCAGGTGAAATTAACTCAAGAGAATATCCTCGCCATCAGCAGTGCTCCATCGTTGGACGAAGAAGTGGTTGAACAGTTGAAGATGTTGAAGTCAAATTTGAGGGCGACTAAAGAGAAGTTAGGAAGCTTGAATCCTTTTGCTTAGGCATGTTTGCGACTCTTTTGCTTATTTCTTCATGTGATAAGACTCAAGGTTATGGAATGGAATGATTTGTTTCTTTTCATATCATACAATTTCGAACATTAACATTTGTTGAACTTCATTTCCTCGCCAAATCAATCAAAATTGACTAACTTAGAAGACGAATATGATTTATGACTGAACTTAGAAAATATCTAAGCTGCCTACGTACCTTTTAAAAGGATCAAGTCATAACGTAGTTCAAAGTAACATGGATTTGTTTAGGGGGGGTGCCGTACACAGTTTGTACTCATGCGGGCCAGGAGTGACTATTCTTTAACTACTTTTAGACAAAGTAGAGTATTAGGTTTAACCACATAACACCTTAGTGGAGAATTAACAGTTTAACCACATATATTCACATTGGTGGAGGATTTTAGCAGTTTAATCTCATGCAAAGCTTTTTGGTGATTACCGTTCACAGTTTATACTCATGCGGGTCAGGAGTTCTTCTTCTCTTTTTTGGTTTTTTTTTTTTTTTTTTTTTTTTTTTTTTTTTTTTTTTTTTTTTTTTTTTTTTTTAAATTAATACATAGTACAACTAAGCGTAGTAGCGTTTCAAGAATTTCCCATTGATAGGGCCAATCTTGACTCGATCCTCCGAAATCAACTTATACGCGCCATTGGTGTAGACTTCCGTGACGACATACGGTCCATCCCATCTTGACACGAATTTGTTCCCAACACGATGAGTAGTTATGATGGGTCTTCTCACAGCAAGCACCAGATCTCCTACTTGAAAAGAACGAGCTCGGACCTTCTTATTGAACGACTTTGAAAGACGAGCTTGATAACATTCAAGTCTTTGTTGCGCTTCCAACCTCCTCTCATCAAGAGCTTCTAATTCCTGAAGGCGCAGTCGTGCATTATCTTCTTCAGTCAACCCTTCTTGTATGGCGATCCTCAATGATGGAATTTGTTGCTCGAGAGGAACGACAGCTTCAACACCATATACAAGTGAGTACGGGGTCGCTTGAGTGAGAGTCCGATAAGTGGTGCGATACGCCCAAAGCACTTCATGAATTCTTTCGTGCCAATCCTTCTTTGACTTAGCTACGACCTTCTTCAAAAGACTACATAAAGTCTTATTGAACGCTTCAGCGAGTCCATTGGCCGCCGCATTGTACATTGCTTAAAGTTGAACTTCTCGCAAAGCTTATCGATCAGGCTGTTGCTGAAAGGCTTTCCATTATCCGTTATGATGTACCCTGGGATTCCATATCGGTAGATGATGTTTACACGAATGAAGTCAGCAACATTTTCTTTCTTCACTTCCTTCAAGGGAACCACTTCAGCCCATTTTGAGAAGTAGTCAGTCGCAGCCAGAATATAAAGATGACCACCCGAAGACTTTGTCAAAGGACCAACCACATCTAATCCCCAAGCATCAAAAGGTCATGAAGCAACAGTAGGGTGCAACGGCTCAGGAGGTTGATGGATCAAATTTGCATGATATTGACACGCTTGACATCTTTGGGCATAATCCATACAATCTCTAACCATTGTCGGCTAGTAGTATCTCATTCTCTTAATTCGAAAGTGCAACTACGGACCAGACTGATGAGCGCCACAGATGCCCGAGTGAGCCTCTTCAATAGCTTGAGCAGCTTTTTCGTCGCCTAGGCATCTTAAGAATACTCCATCGAACGACCGTCTATACAATACATCATTGAAATAAATGAAGCGAGGCGCACGACGTCGAATATCAACCTTTTGTCGTGGATCATTGGGCAACTTGTCATACTTCAAGTAATCCACGAGCAATTGACGCCAATCTTCCTTTTCAATATCGAATACTTCAACCACATGAGTTTCATCTTCATTCCAATCATCATTGTCGAAAACCGGAGGTATAACCCAACTTCTGCAAATTTGCACTCGAGCCCTATCCTCAGGAAGAATGAGTGAAGAAGCGAGTTTTGCCAAAGCATCAGCTTGTTTATTATACTTTCTCGGCGCGTGTTCAATTGTAACATCTCCAAGCCATCCCATGAGCCTATTCGCATAGTCGACGTACGGGAGCAGCTCAGGTTTCTTTACATCGTATTCTCCAAGAAGTTGGTTTACCACCAGCTTTGAATCTCCATAGATCTTCAAATGTAGTTGCTTCATGTCCACGGCCATCTCCAACCCCAGAATTAGAGCTTGATATTCCGCGACGTTGTTTGAGCAATTTTCAGTTAAAGTGAAGGAATACGGAAGCACTTCTCCATGGGATGTCACAAAGACGTCTCCGGCACCAGCTCCTTCTATATGAGACGCTCCATCAAAGTACATCTTCCAAGGAGGAGCAATTTCAATGAGAAGAACGTCCTCATCGGGTAGTTCATCGGACAACTCCCACTCAGCAGGGATAGGGTGATCGGCTAAGAAGTCTGCCAGAACTTGTCCTTTTACCGCCTTTTGAGGGATGTAGACAATCTCAAACTATTGAAGTTGAAGATACCACCTAGCTAAACGGTCTGAGAGGACGGGTCTTGTCATGACACACTTCAATGGATTTGCCCTTGAAACAAGACGAACCGTATGAGCTTGAAAATAATGCTTCAACTTTTGAATTGCAAAGATCAGCGCCAAACATATTTTCTCTATCGGTGAATAGTTCAACTCATTTGGTGTCATCGTTCTGCTCAAATAATATAAGGCGCTCTCCTTTCCATCATCATTTTCTTGCGCCAGCAGAGCTCCAATAGAACGTTCTTGTGCTGCTATGTAGAGAATAAGAGGACGACCAGACACTGGCGCAATTAACACAGGAGACTTCATTAAATAGGCCTTTATGCTTTCAAAAGCGTTTGTACAAGATTGATCCCACTCAAAAGGAACATATTTCTTCATTAGATGACTAAGGGGGCGATTGGATATCAACTTAACTAGTGAAAAACTAGTTTTGTACTCAATTTTACTGTTCGGTATGTGATTGGATATATATCCATACAATTTGATTGTATGTGGCCCACACCATTATTCTCACCACCAACACCACCTGCTACCATTCATTACTATTATCTTTTTTTTTTTGACTACTTTTTTTCAATCTTTCAAATCCAATGCCCTGTTCTCTGCAACCGTACATGCTAAACTCGAAATTTTCCTCCATAAATTTGGGTCCAATAACCTCTGCATCGTATGGATCCCTCCCTTCCACAAGAACATCCGGTGACAGCAGCTGAAACCGACGGGGAAGGAAGGGAAGATCTGCGTCCTGAAGACACAACCGAGAGCACCGGCAGTGTCTCCGTCACATCTCCGAAGAAAAGAAAACTCCGGCCAACAAAGGTACTACTTACTACTATTTCACACTGAATTTCAAATGGTCGATGCATGTTCGTAGACTACAAATATAGGTTTTTAAGTAGATCTGTAAAAATAGTGGATTTCTTTGTTTAGA